GTTTTGAAGGCCATTCCTTTGAATGAGGATCCCAGCTTGCTTAATGATAAAGCAAACCACAAACCAAACCCAAACCCCAGAAGCAAACTGCTTACAATGCATGCTTTCTATTTTTTCCTGTATTTTAAGTTGGTCTTAAATTTTTGCTTACTTGAAGGAGAACTGTGGGATTCAAAAGCTTTGCTGAAGTTGTTAGTCCTCTTGGCAACTGGGAAGTTAAATTCTTAGTTCTTAGGAAGCTGGAAATACTTGGCTTTCATAGGCAAATACTGCAGAAAGGGTCCCCTGGAAGGGATTTCCAGGCTGTTACTAACATTTGGAGTGTGTTCAAATTCACTGTGAGTTGTGCTTCTAGCAAGCACTCTCTAAACATTTCTCCTAAGCAAGCATCTTAGGGTAGCACCGAGGTCCAGACAGAATCCTTTTGGTCTGAGATGCTGTCCCTGCTTGGACAAGATTGCAATTACACAAATAGGGTTGCTTCAATTTGATTTAGACAGTACCATTTAGGTAGTTCTTAACCGAAACACTCATGCCTAGCAGGTTAGACTTGGCCTTACAGAGGTGAGCATTGGCTCTTAGTGTGCTCAGTCTGTTCTAATTCAGTGGGTGGAATTGCCCAGCTTCTGCGCTGAGGCTGATGTTGGCTCTGACAGACCCCCAGCAGCAGCAGAACTGAGCCTTACAGACGTTGGTGTTGAAGTCCAAGCACCTGCAGTGGTCTGTGAGCCTCAGCCTGGGAGCTGCTGGTCCAGGTTAAGTGCATGAATCCTCTGAGAACCAGAAGGTGTTAACTCTTATCCCTCCACCTTTGGCAACGACTCCTGCTGGGTTCCTTGGCTTCACACAAGCCTTGCCTTCAGGCATTGAAGTTGTGGCTTTAAGTTGAGGCAGTGAAAGGAACACTGACATTTGCTCTCAGACTGCTGGGTTTGCAGCGATGAAGGTGCTGTTTGTCCTGCTGATCACATGTGGTTTTGTCACAGGGAAGTACGATAACTCAGTGGATGTTTATGCGTTTGGCATTCTGTTCTGGTACATCTGTTCGGGACACGTGAAGTTACCAGAGGCTTTCGAGAGATGTGCAAGCAAAGATCACCTTTGGAATAACGTTAGAAGAGGTATCAGTGGCTTATTTGAACTCTCTTGGTTGATGCTTTGATGCTTGAGTATAATGGGAGGAGAGGAGAAAATCCAGTCTTAGCCCTTGTAACCAAAAGGTAGAAATACAAGTTCTGTTGCTTTACTGGCAGTCTGAAGAGTTAAACTTGGAAATACTCTCGAAGTCTGACTAAAACCAGCAGGGATAAACCAGGCTTTCAGTTAACCACCTCTTTGCCATAGTGTTGTAGAGCTCTGCCAGCGCACTGCTTGAACCATGCGAACAGTACACCACTTCGGAAGTAAACCAGGCCCCAGAGCCAGCCAAGCATGATCCCCTAAGGAATGTTTAATCCCCTGCAGTTTCTGGAGGCTGTGGTGATCTGTACCATTATAGTGTGCAGCATGCTGAGGAAGCTGATGTCGAGTCAAACACAGAGTTGTTCCCCAGAATAGGAACTTACTCTCATACTTGTGTAGGTGCAGTGTATGTTTTATGGTAGCTTAATCCTTTGTGCTTGCCTCATGGTGTTGGAATGTTTCCCTTCTTTGTCTCCTTAGTTCCTGTCCATATAAACTCTCCCCTTCTCATGTGAAAAAGATTTAACTCAGATGAGTGAGTCTTGTATTTATTTGGTCAGGAGGCTGCACTCAGTGCTTGTTCTCCTGTTGAACTGGCTCCCATGGCCACCACTATGATTGGGGGGGGACCTGAGTTTGCTCCCAAAGAGTTGCAATGAGGAAGCTCCAGTGAAAATGGCTTGAACCTGCCTGAGAGGAGACTGAGCTGAGCTCTTAGGCAGAAGCTCTTCCCTGTGAGGGTGCTGAGGCGCTGGCACAGGGTGCCCAGAGAAGCTGTGGCTGCCCCATCCCTGGCAGTGCTCAAGGCCAGGCTGGACACAGGGGCTTGGAGCAAGCTGCTCCAGTGGAAGGGGTCCCTGCCCGTGGCAGGGGTTGGAGCTGGAGGGGCTTTAAGGTCCCTTCAACCCAACCCGAGTCTGGGATTTTAGGAGAATCGATGTGTTGGCCATCCCCTGGAAGTGTGCATGATCTGAGCAAACCCAGCAATGCTCCCAAGGATGTCAGCACCACTGCGAAGAGTAAGCCTTTGTCAAGAGCATTAGACCCCAGCCAGTCCACTTGGGTCACTTCAGCCTGCACTAGAGCAGTGAGCACCAGGCAGTGTTTTCTCTGGTTGAGCTGTACTGATGGTAACCATGTCCCTCTCCATTTGCCAGGAGTTCGCCCGGAGCGTCTCCCTGTGTTTGATGAGGAATGCTGGCAGCTGATGGAAGCCTGCTGGGATGGAGACTCCTCCCAGCGCCCTCTCTTGGGCATTGTTCAGCCTATGCTGCAGGGGATCATGGACAGGCTCTGCAAGTCAAGCCCTGAGCACCCAAATAAAGGGTTGGATGACTCGACTTGAAAAGGAAGCACAGAAGAATCTTTGATTGTGGGAGAATTCGGAAGCCCTGGCTCTGCAGGGGGCTTCTTGCGGTGTAGCTCTCTGTGGCTAACACGAGTGGGACAGGTAACAGCAACCAGAAGAGGTGAGACCTCGGGGATGTTCCATCTTGAATAGCAGCCTGAGATATCTCCCCCAGCACACCCCACTGATGCCAGTTATCCCACTGCAGCTTTTACTATGGAATTGTGCAACTAAGGTAGAAAATCCATGCCCTTGAACTGAAAGGGATTTTTGCCAATCCCACACAAACACCAATCAAAGAAACATCTCTTGTGCTTCAGGTAGCACCTGTGTTGCCAGGAGCTGATCACAGCAGTCTTTACTTGGGAAAGTAAAGACCTTTCCCATTAACTGCTGGTCCTGGGTGGCCTTTGGTCCACACATAACTACATCCCAATCACTTTCCGATTGGCACCAATTACAGCGTGGTTGGAGAGGAAGGAGAAAGCAGAGGCTCTAGGCTGGGAAGTGTTCAGAAGCTAAGAGAGCATCCCTGGAGGAGCTTCCTGAAACACTCAACATGTTTACATTGACAGGAGCAAAGCTTCCATGTTTTACTAAGGGGGTTTACCTACTGTGCCAGTGCAGTGCAGATGCCCCAGGTTATAAGCTATTTATCCTTTCTGTACCCTTCACCTCTTCCTTCTGCAAACAAGCTCTGTCTTTCTGGTCATTCTGCTTCGTAAGAGTTATTTGAATGTCTGAAGAAACCTGAGCGGCCTTTTCCAGTCTTCCAGTGCAAGGGAAGGCTGCTCAGACGTAACACGGTGGAATACCAAAACCAGGTCGTTACAACTAATGACTGTCCATGGGGGAAATGCCAATTCCTTTTAATGACATTTGGGGTTTGGAAAAGCAGTTTTAACTTGTGCTGTGCCAGCCATAGTTTTAAAGAGCTCTTCTTCAGCTTTTTATTTCAAGTCACATGCTTGGTGAGAGCATACTCGAGGGGAAACAGGTCATTCATTCATTCATTCTTCAGTGGCTGTGCCTGTTCATCTGACCACTGCACTCCGGGATCCTGAATTTGGCTGTATTGAACAAAAAAGGGGGGGAGGGATCCTTTGCAACAAGGGTATGGGCAGGGGGGGCTGCTTCTGCAAATAATCTCCTTGCCCTTTATGCGTTTCTGGGGCAAGATTGATCTTAATGTAACCTACTTACAGGGTGGAGGCTGAAATAGAACACGCACCTTGTTTATGACATGAGGAAATAGTGAGTTGGCAAGTTCTCCCTGGGCTTCCTGTTCCTTCCAGTTGCAGAGGATGGGCACTCAATGGCTTTGTTTCCCAGGAAAGCTGACATGCTGCATCTGAAGTAGGGGAGGGATGTGGAATTACTGCACCTTGTGGCTGGAATTTATTGGCTAGGATACGGCAAAATGACAACCGATAGTCTGCCTGGTGAACAGCTTGAACAAAGGAAAGGGATACATAACCCTGCAGTATTAGTTTAGTTTAAATCTTCCTTTGTGCAATAAACAGAATTAATGCTTTTTTATGTATATATATATAAAGACTTTTTTTTACTTACCTGCACGTGTGGGCATTCTTCTGGTCTGTGGTGGCATTAATGCTGTGGTTCTGTCCAGACACTCAGGAGTTGCTCCCAGCGCAGCCACCCGGAGCCACACGCGCAGGATGAACCCTTCAGCATCCCACTGCCTTGGTGCCACCAGTGCCACTAACAGCATTAACCCTGTCCAACCGTGTGTGCTGGTCCGTAACCTTATTTAAACCTAGGAGAGTCAAGGTCAGTCTCTTGCAATTATTAGAGGTAGCTCGTGTAAATAATAACTGTATGAATAAAATCTCAATCTCTGTATGTGCAATCCCAGAGCTGTCGTGCGTAGCTTTTCCTGTGTGGCCATCTCCATCTTCAGCTGATGCCTTTTTATCCCTGGTTGTAGCTGCCTTGTTGCCATTCAGTTTCTCTTTCGGCACGGGTGGGGGGGGTCTGCAGGTTTTCCCTGGCTCAGTACAATGTCTCTGCATTACTTTGGCCTGAGGTTGTGCTGAGCCATTCCACGCACCCGCTTTATGTTTAAAACTAGAGTTTTCCCTCCCATTAGAGCAAGGCAAATGAGGTGAATAATGGCTTTATTCACCTTCCAGAGGCTGTACACTGGAGGTGGTACTGAGCTGAGCAGGTATTAAGGCCACCTTTATCTCCTCGTTCTACTGAAGAGGTTTGGGACAGTGTGTTGTAAAAGGGCACCTGACCTGACCTGACGCCGAGCCCGGAACCTCAGCCCCGCGGCCGCGGTACCCGCCCGGGCCGCTCCCCGCGCAGGCGCCGGGCTGCCCGCGGCGCTGCCTGAGCGCCGCCTGAGCGCTGCCGGCCGCCATCCAACGCCCACCGCGCGGGGAGAGGGGTCGGTGCCCGGCCGGTGCCCGCGGGGCGAGGCGGGGCGGGCGGCGAGGGGCTGGTGGCGAAGGAGGAGAAGGGGAGCGGGGCTCCGTCAGGCGAACCGCAGGGCAGCGCGGAGCAGGCCCCCGGCGGGGTCCTTCGGCGACGGGCACGGAGGGAGCGGGACGGCGGCCGCGATGAACCTGGAGCTGCTCGGTGGGTGCGGGCCGGGGCCGGGGGATGCGGGGAGGGCCAGGGGGTGCGGGCCGGGCCCTCACTCAAGCGCTGCCTTTGCGTTTCCTTGCAGAGTCTTTCGGCCAGAACTACCCTGAGGTAAACGCCCCCCCCCGCCCGCCCGCTGCACCGAGCGGCTCGGTGCGGCCGCGGCCTGACCCCCCCCTCCGCCCCCGGTGCTGCCCTGTCCCCGCAGGAGGCCGATGGGACGCTGGACTGCATCAGCATGGCCCTGACGTGCACCTTCAACCGCTGGGGCACGCTGCTCGCCGTGGGCTGCAATGACGGGCGCATCGTCATCTGGGACTTCCTGACCAGGGGCATCGCCAAGATCATCAGCGCCCACATCCACCCCGTGTGCTCCCTGTGGTGAGAGGGGCGCGGGGCCGGGGCGCTGCTGAGCTCCGGGGTCGCCCTGGGGGAGGTGGGGTTGCTCCAGTGGAAGGTGGCCCTGCCCGAGCAGCGCTTGGAGCTGGATGAGCTTTGAGGCCCCTTCCAACCTGAACCAGGCTGGGAGCCTATGACTGAGCCCAGCGTATGCACCCGGTATGAGGGTGTCGTGGTTTAAACCCAGCTAAGTGCTATGCAGCCAAGTCCCCCCATTCTGCACCAAGCCTGGTGAGCTGTGGTGTGGAAAACCCCTTTGGCTGGTGTGTGGAGTATCCCCCTGGCCAGTGTGGGGCAGCTGTCCTGGCTGTGCTCCCCCCTCTCAGCTTCTTGTGCCCCATGTCACTAGCAGAGCCTGGGAAACTGCAGTCCTTGGTGAGGGTAAACAGTGCTCATCGGCAACCAGAACATCAGCGTGCTGTCAGTGCTGTTCTCAGGCTGAAGCCAAGGCACAGCCCTGTACCAGGCACTGGGAAGAAAATTAACTCCATCCCAGCCATTAGCAGGACTGAAGAGCTGTTCTTTTGATGGAATTTGCCCGTGCCTGTGTTTGCTGAGCATCAGGTGCTGATGTCCTGACAGCTCCTAACACCCAGGTGTGCCAATGGCCTAAATGCCAGCCTGCTGCGGGATACTCCCTGCATTCCAGGGTAGTTTCCTTGGAAAGAATTTGGAAACAGGTTATGCCTGTTAACGTTTTGGGTTACTTTTCACCCTAACAGGGTTATATCTGATACAGATCTCTCAATGATTATGTATATATATGTATATGTCTCATCATTTGGTTAGGGGTTTATGCATTTGAGGAATAACTGATTCAAATTGCCTCTTGTTCCTGCAGCTGGAGTCGAGATGGTCACAAACTGGTGAGTGCTTCCACAGATAACATCGTGTCACAGTGGGATGTGCTCTCTGGAGACTGCGACCAGAGGTTTCGATTTCCTTCACCCATCCTGAAGGTTCAGTACCACCCTCGAGACCAGTAAGTCCTGTGAGAAGGGGGTTGAATGCTCTGCTTTTGGTAGAACTAATGGTGATTAAAATGTTTTTCCTGTAGTTTGCAAAGGGATTTTTCCCATATTTAATAGAGGGTTTTGGTGTTATCGACTTGTAATTTGTTGTGGCTCTTTTTATTATGAAAACAGCAGGATGGGGAGAGAGTAAACATGGGAATGAGCCTTGGAAGTGTGGGCAGAAATGTCTTCTTTGTTTTGGTGTTTTCTGGAGAAGAAACTCCTAACCCTTCTTTTCCTGCTCTGCAGAAACAGGGTTTTGGTTTGCCCCATGAAGTCGGCGCCGGTGATGCTGACGCTGTCAGACTCCAAACACGTTGTCCTGCCTGTGGATGATGACTCTGATCTCAATGTCGTGGCCTCCTTTGACAGGCGAGGGGAATACATTTACACAGGCAATGCCAAGGGGAAGGTGAGGCTCCAGCAGGTGGCACTGGGTGCCATAGCTTTGATTAATTCCTGACTGTAGCAAGATGCTTCATGTTTCTGGGGTGCTTTCTTTGTTTTAGTACCCAAATAAAGCTTCCTGAATGTCTCTTGAGCGATTGATCCTGCGTTGATACAATCTTACAAGTAACATCATGCTTTACCTTTGAAGATCTCTAGGCTACAATCTGTATCTCAGGCCTTTATGTTGCTTTTGACCATATTTGTTGGATCCTTTTCCAGTGTAGATAAAGCAATGCTTATGTCGCAGAACTGTTGCAGAAACTGTAGTACAGCTACAGGTGCAGAATCCCAACTATTCCTGTGTAGATTGCTGAGGCTTCTGTTGTCAGGGTTAGTAGCTGGTGGAAGAGGTAGCAAAAGGGGATTGAATTCTAATGATGACACTGACTGCCTCCTGTCTCCTTCATCTGCAGATTTTGGTCTTAAAAACAGATACTCAGGATCTTGTTGCTTCCTTCAGAGTGACAACTGGAACCAGCAACACCACAGCTATCAAATCGATTGAGTTTGCTCGGAAGGGAAGGTGAGATACTTCATCTACCAAGTGGTAGCTTTAAAGATGAACAGGGTATATTGACTTAGCATTTGAGGTGTGAATACCCCCATAACTCTTACGTGGAACATAGAATCATAGAATGGTTTGGGTTGACCTTAAGGTCATCCAGTTCCAACCCCCTGCCATGGGCAGGGACACCTCACACTAGGAGATGTCGCCCAAGGTTCTATCCAACCTGGCCTTGAACACTGCCAAGGATGGGGCAGCCACAGCTTCTCTGGGCACCCTGTGCCAGCGTCTCAGCACCCTCACAGGGAAGAGCTTCTTCCTTATATCTACCCTGAACTTACTCTGTTTTAAACCGTCACCCCTTGTCCTATCACTGCAGTCCCTGTGAAGAGTCCCTCTCCAGCATCCTTGTAGTCCTTTAGATACTGGGAGGCTGCATAATCTGATTCTTTCTGTTTCTCGGTCTGTTGATGTCATACGTGTTCTGTGCCCTCCTTTTACAGCTGCTTTTTGATAAACACAGCTGACCGGATAATCAGGGTGTACGATGGCCGTGAAATTCTCACCTGTGGACGAGATGGGGAGCCTGAACCCATGCAGAAGCTGCAGGATTTAGTGAACAGGTAAGGGGCAGCAGGGTGGCCGGTCAGCCTCACTGGCAAAGGTGAGGTTTGTGTGCTCAGCACTAGTGGGAGAAGGCAAGATCTCAGTCTCAAGAACAAACCCACTCCGCAGTCCTCCAGCCTCCCTGCTCTCCTCAGGTCTAGGGGTTTAACCTGTGTTGCTGTCTTTGCCTGCAGGACACCGTGGAAGAAGTGCTGTTTCTCTGGTGACGGTGAATATATAGTGGCAGGGTCAGCACGACAGCATGCCCTGTACATCTGGGAGAAGAGCATTGGAAACCTGGTGAAAATCCTGCATGGGACCAGAGGGGAGCTGCTCTTGGACGTAGCGGTAAGAAAACTGACTGCATTTCTTGTTACTTTGAAAACTAAGCTTTCTTAATTCAAATTAGTTAAACTTCTCTTTTCTCTTTCTAATAAATCCAGTGGCATCCTGTCCGACCCATCATAGCTTCTATTTCGAGCGGTGTTGTCTCAATATGGGCTCAGAATCAAGTGGTAAGTGTTTTACATAGTTTCCTTAAGAGGATTCCCAAACCTAACCTGCAGTATTAAGCATAATCCAGTATTTATTATGTGCTCCATCCCTGGCAGCATTCAAGGCCAAGTTGGACAGAGCCTTGGGTGACATGGTCTAGTGTGAGGTGTCCCTGCGGGTGGCAGGGGGTTGGAACTGGATGATCTTAAGGTCCTTTCCAACCCAAACTGTTTTGTGATTCTATGATTACAGTGTTGTATTTTCAGTAAGAACTAACTTGTGCACTTCCTAATTTACTGTGTGACTCTGGACCTGACTGAAACTTGATTTTATTGTGAGCCTGTGTGTGGCTTGGGGGATTTTAATGCAGAATGAGACTGTAACTGTTTGTGTCCTCACTCCAGTTGTTGTTCCTTTGCATAAGGTAAAAATCACTTTGACTTTGTGGTTTAGGAAAACTGGAGTGCCTTTGCTCCTGACTTCAAAGAGCTGGATGAAAATGTGGAATATGAAGAGAGAGAGTCAGAGTTTGACATTGAGGATGAAGATAAGAGTGAACCAGAACAGACAGGTACTGTGTAAACTGTGTTTTCAGTCTAATTACGTATCCATACCAGGAATGAAAACTAGTGCTCACAGTGGTATAGGTGGGTGTTAAATGACAAAACAGGAGAGGGTAAATGAAGACAGGTGAACTAACACAATTGGTATGATTCAAGGTCAGGTTGGATGGGGCTTGGAGGAACTTGGTCTCGTGGAAGGTGTCCCTGCCTGTGGCAGGGGTTGGAACTGGATGAGCTTTAAGGTCCTTTCCAACCCATCCATGATTCTATGATCTTTCTAGAAACTCCTCCCCTCTTCAGTAGGTGTTTAACAACAGAAAACAGTAGCAGATAAGACAGGGGTGGCTGTCCAGGCCTCCTCAGCAGCAGCAGTGCTGAACTGGAAGCGATGGCCACACAACCTGGCCACTTGGTGGTGCCAGAAAACTGTGTCCTGTGCCAGCCCCGCCTCTAAGGACAGAGCGGATTATTCCCAGCACACCATAGAGCTTTCCTTGCTACCAGGCTCTGCAGCACTTCTCCTGGTTGGATGAATTGCTGTTTGGCAGTTTCTAATATTCAAGTGTAATGTTGGTTTGTGGGTATTAAGCATTCTTTCCCTGAAATTTGGTCTTTTCCTTGCTGTCTTGAATTTACCTTTTTGCCTGGTTCTCAGGTGCTGATGCTGCAGAAGATGAAGAAGTGGATGTGACGAGTGTGGATCCCATTGCTGCCTTCTGTAGCAGGTGGAAGAACCTTTTGTTTATGAATACAGAATGTATCACTAATATTCCCTGTCTAATATGTTCTAATAACCCCTAGTTTTAAATGAAAGCAGACATTTTTCTTTCACAGTGATGAGGAACTGGAGGACTCCAAGGCTCTGCTTTACTTACCCATTGCTCCTGAAGTTGAAGATCCAGAAGAAAACCCCTATGGGCCTCCACCAGATGCGGTTCAGAGCTCTTTAACTGATGAGGGAATAGGCTCTGAGAAGAAGAGGCAGTGCTCCTCTGATGGACCCCAGGCACCAAAGAAGAAGCCCAAAACCACCAACATTGAACTACAAGGAGTACCTAATGATGGTGTGTGGTAGCTGCAGTTGTTTTAGTGCTTGTTCTGCATCTGAGATGGCTTTTAGCTTTGCCTTTGCCTTGTCTGAAGAGCAGAAGTTCAGAAGGCCGCTGGTTATTTTGAAGTCACTTTCTTGTAACACTTATGAATAGCCACCCACTCTTGCTGGCATTTTGCAAGCTAGGGAGAAGTAAGATATCTTGATACTGTTGGTTTCTAATGCTGTTTGTATCTGGTGCTGTACATGCTGAAGTTTAATTCGCTTTGGTGCCATGTTGTCTTTCCACAGAAGTCCATCCGCTGCTGGGTGTGAAGGGAGATGGTAAATCCAAGAAGAAGCAAGCAGGCAGGCCTAAAGGATCAAAAGGTAAAGACAAAGATTCTCCATTTAAACCGAAACTCTACAAAGGGGACAGAGGTGCTTTACCTCTGGAAGGAGCAGCGAAGGGTAAAGTGCAGGCGGAGCTGGGACAGCCTTTGACAGGTAAGGAACCCAGCGGGAGCGTCGTTGCCTTGCTTGGTGGCCTTGCTTTGTACAGACCCTGACTTAATATAGTCCTAGTTTTATCTTCCCAAATGGCACTTGCTCACTGAATGTTCAGCTGCTGTCAAGGAGAGGCAAAATTTTACAGCACTATTATAGTCTATAGACTGCAGGTTGAGTACTATCTCAAAGGCAAAACATCTTTGGATATCTTTTGGATAACTTCTGTCAGTTCTTCCATAAACAGTAACAGGGTTTGGTTTTGGTGGGTCGATGTTGAGGGAGGAAAAATGTAAAGAGTGAAGGCTTCTGAAGCTGAGGTTGACATTTTGTGCCATCAGTACCAGGCAAAGATGAGGAACAGCAGAGTTCTGTAAGCAGAAGTAGGAAATGGAGCATTGGTAATGGTCTGTTTGGTGAATGAACCCCGAGGGCTCATTCATGAGAGGAAATCCAGGAGCTGAATTTTCTTTTCCAAACTCCACGGCAGCCTTATTTAAATTCCAGGCAGTGCAGTTGCTGGCAACGAGGGTAGGTTTCGGTGGACTTTAATCCTTTTTCCCTCTGGTCATATTTTGTTGGTTGTGTGCAAAACCAGGACTGTTGCAGTCACCTTTCTGGGGGCCCATAGTCTCTGTGAGACTGAGTGTTTCCCCTCAGTCTCCTTTGCTGCTTCAGCTACTTCACTGGGAAAAGTCCAGTTAAGCTCAGTGACAAAAGGACGTTTGGATGAAGTGATGTGGGCTCCACTGTTTACTGCTTTTAAAGTGTATTTAATAAGTGAGGATTGATACATAGACAGTCTCAATGGCACTGCTATTATCAAATTTTGCATTTCCTTGAAGTCAGCAGCTGCTGCTGTGGATTTTAGACTGTACAGAAGTGATTTTATTCCCCCTCTTCCTTCCCTCACTGCTGGTCCTACGCTACCCACCTTGCTCATTGTCCTTCCTGCTCAGCTTCTGTCCCATTGCTTGTGCTAGTACTGACAACTGCTGTTTGCTGAAAAAGGGGAGGGGATGAAAGCAACTTAATCTGTAAAGTATGATAGTAAGGAGTTACCTGGATTGTGGGGTCCTCAGGTGTCTTTGCTGGCATGTGTGACGCATCCTGACTGCTCTGTTGTACATTGCTGGATGGATAAGCCTGGTTTGAGGACCAGATGATTAGAACTATTACATATCCTTGCAAAGCTGTATGTGGGAGGATTTTTGTGTGGTTTTGCTTGTAGTGCTGCCATGGAGTTGTTATAATAGAGTCTGAGTTGCTACAAAAGCCAAGAGTGGAACTTTACTGCTGCTGAGTTTGGGATGTGCATATCCAGGCCAGGCCAGTGAGTTTTGGGGTTTGGGCACTGTAAAATGGAAGCTTTCTCATGAGCAAATGCATTTAAACTCATGTTCCCCACTTACTTCACCAGTCTAGAGGAGATGGTAGAGCTTTCTGAAATAGATTTTAACCTTTGTTGCCTGGAAGCACTTGAAGGTGGTTTTCCATGGTGCAGTTCTTGGACTTGATTGGGATATAGGCAAAGAGTCAAAATGAAGGACTTCTGTCTCGTCAGGACCTGTTGTTGTGCTTCATTCTACACTTAAGAGGATTTCATAGGTCCATGCAGTAGATCTCAGTAGTCAGTGTTGGAAGTGTCTCTGTAAGTTATGTTGTAAGAAGAACAGATCGGCCACTAAAGGAACTGTTGCTTGGATCTTTCCAAACTCACAGGAGGCTTTTACTCCATGAAGCTCATGTCTGCCTTCCTTTATTCCCTCTATGCCTTGCGCTTACACGTCCTATTTTGGGCAGCCAGTTTTTCTGGGTTCCACCACGTGCAGATGCACACATCCACATTGAAATGGCCACCTGGAATCCTGGAGCCTTTCCTGTCTCTCATGCATGGAGCTGTTAATTTTGCTAGTTCCTTGTGCTATTGCTTTTGAAGTAACTAATCAGCTACTAAACCAGTCACACAAAGGCATTTCTGCTCTCATATGCCCTATTACAGTGTCTTGCTGCAAGCTTCATGGCTGGGATGAGGAGCTTGGCACTGGTGCATCTGTATCACTGTGCTGTGCAGTCTGGAATGCCTTCTTCAAGCTGCTGTGTCAAAATTGGGCTTCAAACAGACTGAGAAGCTTGATGCATTTTGTAGCTTCAGAATAAAATCTTACAATTTGGGTTAACACAGGCTTAGGTGAGGCTTGTTTTCTGTTGGGCTTTTGCTCTCAGGTTTTGGGGTTGTTTGACACCAGGTAAGTTGCTTTGCAGCTCAGGAGTTTCTCAGCCACCTTGTCATAGACAGTACCATGTTGGTTGTACCTCATTAGAGTGAAAAGAATGGCTTTAGCTGGGAAATCTTGTTCTTCTTTCTCTGGAGATGCTGAATTTGGTGGTCTCTGGCTTTTAGGAACATCTGTCGGAGGCTGGTTACTTACTTTTGACCTGTCTTTGATCTCTTTAGCAGGTGGTGCAATCTCAGAATTGTTATGAAGACACTCTCCTTTAGCTTCCTGTATTCTTCCCTATTTTGGCACCATAATGTGGAAAGTAGATGAAATGCTCAGTCAGAGTGGACTGACTAACACAGCAGACTGATTGCTCATGGATTCAGGGAGTGACTTTTGTATGCAATGACTACAGAAGAGGAAGCAGCTTCATTCCTCCTTACCTGCCTCTGCATGGAACAGTGTAAGATGATAACTCTCAGGTCATGGGATTTGCAAAGAGACTCGTTGGACTGCCTTTGTGGTGACATACAGAACTGTGTCTGAAGTGAGCTGGAAGGGACCTCCAGAGCTTACCACCATTGTCTTTTAAATCCCCTTTTTTTTAATTCCTGGATTGAAGAATACCCAAAGTGTGCATTTTTATTCCTGGTGACTGTATTGTGCAAACATCCCTTTCTGTGCTGTTAAGTTTCATTTCGGTGAGTTGTGACTGCTCCCATGCCAGCTTCTCACCTTCCCAGCTCTTTGGGTAGCTTGCTGTGATGTCTTCTGTGCTGAGACTCCTGCTGACTATGTGCCAGGTGGACAGAGACCTGAGGTGAAGAATCAAGAGGCCCTCTGAAGTCTGCAAAGAATGAAGCTTCATATTGTGAATAGCTCAGACATGAAGGATGACCCTGCTTATGGGAGAAAGGGGCTCTAGATAAAATACTCAGCTGTTACGCTCTCTTTTAACCTGTGATATGAAAAGCAGTGTTGGCAGTTTCCGTCCTAGCAAAAGTGGTTTTATTCTGTCCCCTTCCTGTGCAGTGCCCTACTGGAAGCAACTGGTTTCCTCCTTAGCTGATAGGAACTGGCAGATAGAGAAAAACCAGAACCCCACCTCTGGATCAAGAATGGAAGATGAATGCTAACAGCTCACTCCCAGCCATGCTTTAACCATTTCCTCCTTAAAGATGGTTGGAATATTTTCCTTGTGGGAACGGAAAGAGACACTTTATCCAGTACCGACAGCCTGAGAGCTCTGTACCAGACTGACTGTCTGTTAAAAGGTTTTCTTTCCTAAATGCCCTTTGCTTTATAGACTTTTATAGTTCCTATGCAATTACTTTTAGTTTTCCCCCAGCTGTAATTATTGAGCTCATCATTGTGTATTGGAATTGTCAAAGCATCCTGCAGACGGTAAAACCCAACAAGAGGAGTCGTGAAGAGATCTCTTCAGTTGCAGCTGGAAGCGTGCAGCAGTTGCATGAGATGAAGTATGGGAAGAGAGGAGACACTTTAAATCAGGAGGGTTTTTAAAAGTGGTGGTTTCATTTCTGGCTTTGGTGCAGTGGCTGCTTCGTGTAATGAAATCCGTGTGTACAGTAGGAGTTTTCTTTGTTCTTTCTGCTTGTAGGATGACTTGCATCTCCCCTGGAATATGTTATGTCAAATCCACCCTAGTGTGGCGTGGCTGACCCCACAAGCTTTAAAAGATGCGCAGGCAGTGGCTCTTCAGGCTGTGCTAAAGCATGTGATTTGCCACAGACTCCAGCCTCTGTTTCTGGTAAACCTTTGCTGTACAGTGTATATGTCCTTGCTTTCTTTTCTTCCATCTCCTATTTTATTTTCTAGTATCTGTAGTTTTGTACAGTATTTGACAGATACTGGCTTGATGGTAGTCTGCAGCAGTGATGGTAGGGTTTGTGGTTGTAAATAAAGAGGTATGTTTCATTTCCTAAAGTCAATGGCTAAGTCTTGGCTTTTCCATACAACCCTGACTGTGTATATGGGGACAGTGGTTGGGAAGAGCAGCACAGCTCTGGTGTGAACACACTGTGCCTTCACCACAGCTGGTGTGTTCCTTTGGGACACCTGAGCACTATGTGGGTTACACTGGGATGTCTCATCCCCGGTTTGCTGCAGTGGCAGCAGAGGAGTGGCTTCTGTTTGACACACGCATCACTTGGACATGGGGCTTTGGGGTTGGTGGCTGCACATGGCACAGGGCTTGGCCTTGCAGCTCCTCTGAGCGATGCCATGGGGCCGGGGCTGGTGAATCCCTCCTGAGTCAGGCAGTTGATGTCAGGAGCCTTTTATGTTGAGCCCTCATCTCAGAGGACTTTGGCTTCCAAGGAAGGGGAGTTCTTTGGGGCCACACTCTGCCCCAGGACTGTGACATCAGCACTGTTCCCTTGGAAACGGGGAGGTGGGGCTGCACTGAGCCCTGCACAGCCAGGATAAAACACTGCTGAGGTTGGCTTCCGTTTTCAGTGCCATAAGATACCCAGAGGTTGCAATGCTGGTTTTGTGATACTGGTCACTTGAGGAGTACTTTAAGATTTGGGATATGTGTATATATAATCCAGAACTGTGCAGGTGCTGTGTAAGGATTCAGGTTCTCCTCATGCCCCAACAGCATTTTAAATGTTCCAGGAGTGATTATTTATATTGTCTTATAGTTTGGTGGGGAAGTTAAATTGGAACAGTACTTCTTTACAGTGGGAATAGACTCACAGAATGGTTTGGGTTGGAAGGGACCTTCAGGATCATCTAAGATAGTCTGTAAAAGTCTTGCAGAGAAGGTAGGATTTCATCTTTAAGTTGTCAACTATATCCAAATGGCTGGAATGTGGAGGATTAAAACATCCTGCTGCCCTGTGCCCACAGCTGTGCTCAGGGTTCACGTTCTGACCAATGCAGTAATGTGTTGCATCTCTTTCAGCAGCGTTGTGCTTCAAGCCTGTCTTGCTGGAGGATTTTTCCTAATGGAAGCATTAGGTCTTGAAGGTGATGCTGGTGGCAGTTTGAAGACTTCCAGAGAATGCCTGTGGTGACCCATCTGATGGACAACCCCAGGATGGAGCCCCTGGGGAGCAGCCACATCCTTGGCCTGCTCCTTTGTGCTTTCCACGTGCCTTTGGTGGCTTCCCTTGCAGGCGTTACCATCCCGGCAGAGCTCTGGTCCATCACGGCCCCGGTGGTGGTGAGCACCACGCTGTGCAGCGTCACCTGCGGGCTGGGCTTCAGGCTGGAGGAGCTGTGTGAGCTGAGCCCGGCCGGCCAGAGGCAGAACTGCACCGTGCGCCGCAGCGCCTGCCTCACCAGCTGGCACTGTGGCCTGCACCACTTCACCCTCCCAGTGGGCCAGCCCTTCCAGCTGAGCTGCCTGACCTCCGGCCCCACGGGCAATGGGAGCCAAGCCTACAGCTACACGTGGAGGTTTGCCCCAGGGCTCATCACCACCAAGGACGTCCTCTTCAGACCCTTCAGAAACCCCAGGCCTGTTGTCAGGTTTTCCCCTACCAAGGAGTCGGACGCAGGGACGTACCGGTGCGAAGTGCAGGTGGTAAAGACGTTCAGAGTGGTCAAGAGGATCTACTTTGCAGTCAGAGTGATCCACAAGGACCTGGTGGATCTGAACTTCCAAAAATTCCTGACTCGGGAGCAGAAGTTAGCAGCAAACAAGGTGGAAGAGAACCTAGAAACCGGCATCTATGAAGTGCGAGAAGAGGAGCCCTTTTGGAAAGGGGAATTGTTTTATCAGTGCTTGGTAGGAATTGGCAGTGGGGTGGTAGGGGGAATCTTGCTGAGCGTGGTGCTCCACTGCATGCAGAGGATTTGGAGAGGGAGAGCTGCAGAGCAACGAGCTGAGATTTAATGTCACTTCTTGTCTGTCTCTTTCTTGATGCAGTGTTTCATGGGGGTGGCTGTGGGTTTTCTGGCTGACACAGTTTATGCCCAGATACTTTCTGAAGCTTCAGAGTAATTCAGTACATGGCCATAGAACCAGAGCTTGAGTCTGAATGGAGTGGTGCAGAGAGAGCTCCAGATGGAGCAGGGCAGTTTGCCTCTCCATGGTGTGAAAGGGTGGGCTGGAATGGTCCAGGCAGGAGTTAAAGGACACTGAGCCACAGAAAACTGCCCATCGCCTTGCTGTGCTCCTCTAAGAGGCCTTTATTTTACTTCTGTGTGTTTAGGGGGTTTCATTTAGCTAATAACTTGTGATCCTTATTCCTTCCTCTTCTGCCTTGCTGAGAGCTCTGGTGCCAGGACTGACACACATTGCCTGTGGTAGGTGGTGTTTCTCCAGCAAGAGGTGCTTTCGAGGCAGCATTCCAAACCTGCTTTCCTGCCTCTGGTGTCCTTTGCACCAGCTCAAGGTAGATCTCCAGGGTCTCAGTAGCTGTGGGGCAGTGTTGGGACAAGCAGTGGGTGCCTGATTCCCTAGGAGGGATTTATCTCCTTCCACTAGAGCTGGGTAAAGTACCTTCAAGCAGTAGCTTGGAGCTTGCCCTGCTCCTGTGTAGTGGAGAAGAGCGAGGCAGGGAGCACTGGGGAGCACAAGCAAATCTGCTGCTTAGGAACATAATGGGGTGGTTTTAATCATGACTCAGAGGTGAGCTCGTTCCTAAGGGGGAGGAAGGGAGGAGCTCAGTGAGCTGCGGAGCTTTCCTTTTGCCTGGTGATTAATAAGTATAAACCACGCAGCATCTCCATAGGCAGTATTGTTCCCCCCTTCATAGCAGTATTCACAGAGGGACCTATTAAGTCTTTCTCTTTCTACTTTGCCTCTTATTTTACAGCAAACAACTATATTTACTACGTCTATTTCCTTTTTTCTTCCCCTGGGAACTAAAGAACAGGAATGCACAGCACAAAATATTATAGATTGAAGCATGCTATTCCTTTCTCTTTTTGCCAGAACAACTAAAAAGATGCTTTAATACGGAAAGAGTTGGATGTGGAGGTACATATCTGATTTGATTAATCCTATACAGAAAATCAGGCTGAAATAGGAAGCTAAGTCTTCATGTGCAGTGAGGGAGGTAGGAAGTGTATCGGGTCAATGGGCTGTGGACCTTGTGTAGCTGTATCCAAATGGAGGAGCAAGCCTGTCAGCCGGCTTCATTTCCTGGTGTATACTGGTAGGAGTTCCCTCTTTCTATGGGGAGACTTTAATGGGCACAAGAACCAGCAAAAGTTTGGAACCTGACATTTGGCAGTGCCAGGAGATGCCTTTGGGAAGATGCACTGCCCCTTCCTGATGCCTGGGGCCACCCTTTGGAAGGGACTTCCCACACACAAGATTTACAGAGCTCTTTTTGCCCCCTGAACATGAGGAGATGGTGATAGTGTTGGTGAATGTGATGCCCATCACAGGGAGAGGAAGCTGCTGTCTGCTCTCCTGTCTGTTGTGCTGGGTGGGATGAGACCTGGGCTGCTTTGGGGCAGGCTGTGCTGAAGAACTCCCTGAATAGCAGGAGCAGACATGCTTGGATTGGGAGGTAATGGCTAAAATCAACAGAGAGAAGCTGCCCCATCTGGAAGAGCCTCTCTGCTCTTTGTCATGGAAATGACATTGCATCCTGTGGGCAGCTGTGCTTCAGACACACAGAAAGATGATAGGAAAGGTCCAGGACAATCCATTTTCTCCCTGCTTAGCTGAGGAGGTCAGGGTGGGAGCTAACAGGGTCCTTCATCTTATGGTGTCCTCTCTTTGTTCTTCTGAGGGGACCCAGATGCCCACAGCAGGAAGTATTAATACATATTTTAATGGTTATTTCAAGATGGATAATGTACATATTTTTAATGCTTGTTTTAAGAGTGGTTTTGTGATGGCCAATGCAGCTTCAGCTGTCAGAAGGGGTGGATTTGAGCTTCTTATCGGCATCAAGGCTGTTTGAAATGACACTTTCCTGATGTGCTTTTGAGGTTTGGCTGCTGTCTGGATTAGCTGGGGGTGGAGGAGAAGGAAGAGAGAGCAGAGTGAGCTGGGGGGAAGGAAGGGCACAAAAAGGGAATAGGGGAGGTGGGATGTACAGGGAGTCAGTGAAAGCTGAAGCAAGGACCCCTCGTAACTGTTCTCTCCCCATCCATACGTTTCGTTCTGTCTCTTCCTGTAATATCCATGTTTTCTTAGCCCCTGTCCCTGTTCTTACCAAGATAACTGACTCAGTTACAGGACAAGAAGTGTCTTTTTCTGCTCTGCATTGGTAATACGGTGCCTGAACCACTTCCCAGCCCAGTTTGTCTCCCTGACCCGTGGGGAGGCTGCAGCATCCACACACACCAACCCTGCTGCTGCCTGGTACCAGATGGAGACTGCTTCTTGGGACAAACTTGTGCTCAATCAGTATTAGGAAGCAATTAGCATTGTACAAACTGAAGGCAGACAGATTGTGTGAGGGAGGAAGTCAATTTGCTAATGGCATTAGCACTTGGAAGGGAGGAGGGAATAACAGAATGGGGAGGCACAGGCAGCTTTTCAGTTGCTGTCAGCTCCTGAAGCTTATCTAAATGGAATAACTGGATTGCCTTAACTGCTGGAACTTGAGGGGCAGCAAAGAGGAAAACAAACCCCTGTAAGCTTCTATGGCACCAAGACAGGGCTGTCTGAACTCCTCCATCCCCTGCACACTGACCTGAGCTCATTCCTTTACCTGGTCCTGCCCTCGCAGGAGCTCTGTGGCCTTTGGGCTTGCTGCAGTGCTGGTGCTGTGCAGCTCCGTGTGCACCCCTGGTCAAGCTCAGTGTTTGTTTCTTGTAGGGGCTGCAGGAAAGTGAATGCATCCAGGATGGGCGGCCTGAGGGTGAGGTTCCCCATGACCCCAGTACTGCAGAGCCCGGTTTCTCATCTCCCCACTCACCAGTGGAGAGCCTCAGGCCTGTTGCACTTAGGGTTGCTCTGCCTGATCTCCTGGCATCCTTCCCGAAGGCACAAGGAAGCCAGTAGATTTAAGGCAGACAGGATGACCATGCTGAATGAATCTGACATCATGTAGAGAGGTGGTTTCATGCAGCACTTGCTGCTGTGAAGGGAATTCTTTTCTCTAATGGAAGTGAACCTTTGCAAATCTGCTCGCTTGTAGCTATCTATCGGATATCTTCCCTGGAAGGTTTCCAGGCTTGGGTTAAAGGCTGTGATTGATGAGGAAGCTCTTTGGCAAGCTGCTCCAACAATCACTTACACCTTTAGCTAATCAGGTGCATGAAATCTGACTTTCAGTTTCCTAGCATTGCTTCCCAGCCATCGGAATACCAGAGGGAGCACATTGCATGAACATCTCCAACCTCAACACTTGTGATGCCTTACTCCAGGGACAGTCTCTCTTTTGGATAATTATCATTGCCATGGGATAGAACTTGAGTTTACCATTCTTCATTGCCTTGGCTTTGACTGAGGGGTCCAGCTCGGTGCAGTGGGGTGTCACTGGCTCCTCAGCAGGGTTAGTACCTGTGGTATTACTGGCATTTAAAACCGGACAGAAGTACTCCAGACTCATAGCTGTCTAAAGCCTCTGGATACCTTTATTTATGAGCTGCGTGCTACTGGAGCCAATAAATACCATCATTACAGTAAGTACAGGCTGCTTACAGCTGGGTTTCTTACAGAAATAGTGTACAGCAAAGGTACTGCCCCGTTGGTGTGGGGTGGGTGAAGCTGGGGTAAAATGCTCACAGCAGGGGTGTCCGTGGCGCAGGCTTAGAGCAGATGGGATTTAGAGCCCTCAGGCAGTAGCTGAATGTGCTTGCTGCATTATCCAGCTGCTTCCTTGGGCACATATCAGTGTCTCCTGTTGAGGGCACAAGAGTTCAGCTGGCCTGATTCAAACTGCTTGAGCTGCGAGCTGAATTTAGCCCAGACAGCCTAAACCCAGAAGCCCCATCTTCAGTTTGCAGGTTCCATAGTGTCAGGTAGAAGGTTATTTTAAGGCTAAATCAGAGCTGTGAAGCTTCTCTCGCGTGGGAGGCTGCAAACACTCCACCTTGGTGGTGTACTCCTCACAGCATCCTTGTCGAGCTGGTTCCTACTCCTGACACGTAGGATGGACCCCCCGAACTGAGGTGCTGAGAGCAAACCCCCACCACTCAGCTCATCCCTGTAAGTCGATCTCTACAGCAGACACTCAGCAATTCAATGCAGGGGATTCTTAATGAGGCAGGAAACTGATTTGCAACTCGATGCAGTGGTGCCAAGCTCGGAAGCTCTATGGAGATGTTGAGATCTGTTTCTCTCCCCTGGCTCTAAACACCTTTTAACCCCTGTGCTGCGTTTTAGGAAGCTCTGGCTTTACAGAGGGCTTCTTCCACATCTCTTCTCCTGTTGGTGCCTCTGGCTAGGCTTTCTATATAGGGTTTTTATATATAGGGACCCTTGGAGGGGAATTCGCTGTCCATGGGCATGGCAGCCCTCGGGAAAGCAGCAAGTCCTGTATCAGACTTCATCAGCATGAGGGTTTCTGTTGTGGTCCCCTCCACAGAGCGCTGGCAGGGGCAGACCTGGGGCACCTCCAGCACCTGCAGCTCCAATTGATGGAGGCTCTTTGGTTGTTTAACCTGGCTGCTTTGGTTTGGTCCTCTCCTGAGCTGTGCCTGTGCTGCTGCAGGGGCATCATCCAGCCGCGCTCTGGAGCTCCGCAGGTCCTCCTAGTTTATGCCTCCTGAACACTGTTGTTACGGCTGCTGCTGGTGCTGCATGTTGAGCAGGTAACCCTTGCCCAAGCCCTCATTCCCTTTCCTTTTGAGCTAACACTGGGCTTTCCTTTCATCCCTTCTTTTGGGGGAGAAAGGCTGAGGCCCAGCGAGGTGGAGGCGGTAACAGGAATGCGGAATGCAGCACAGGGAATATTTGCTAAATGGAGCTTCCAAACATCAGTAAAAAC